TGTCTACACTATTCCTAACCCTACTTTCCAAGAACACACAACCAACATCCTAGGACCCCCTCATATAGCACTCAGAACAGCAAAGTAACTGCCTAGCAGTTCTGTAACAAGCAAGAATCCAGGACACCCTACCAACTGCCTTCCATCCAAACAATACTCCATAGCAACCACTTAGCAACCACCAAGATTCTCTTAAAGGGACACTCCACCTATTTGCATTAAGCTTTCCATTGTTAGAAACCCAGTCATACTATTGAATGGTCGTGCAAAACTCTCTCATTTTCCCCTGAGACGAGAGAAATCCACTATTTACCTTTTTCACTTCCTCCTACAATGACGCAAAAATAGTCATTTTACGTCATTGGAGGAGGAAGTGTAAGAGGGGGGGGTTCTGTAAAGACTACAAGCACTAGTTCCCACCCTTTCAAACCCGCCCATAGGGGGTTGGACCTAATGCGCTAACAGAGCTATCACAGATCAGTGGGTGGGACTTCACTTGCAGAAACTGAAATCAATATCAGCCATCTTGTTTATAAGCTAAGCTAACAAGCGCTGTGGAGATAGGAAGTTACGACAATGAGGGAAGAAACTAAACATGATATGGAAGAAACTAAACATGATATGGAAGAAGAGGATTTTGAAATTCTGCTGCTCGAATCCGCTGTGCGTGGCTATGTTTACGAGCCGCAATATAGTGGAGAGCAGCTGAGCTGAAGTTTATGCGATTTTGTATGAATCTGTATGATGTGATTTGCGTGGAAATGTACATGTTTAAAAAATTAAGCATGAAGGTTTACCCCTCACCCCACCCCAAACATAACCATCAGGTGGGTGTAAAAGGATCATACGAAAACCTATGAATGAGCTGATACAAATTTATACGAATTAGCCACCAATCCACCAAAACATAAAATAGTTACAAACAGCCATGATAGTGAGTACAAACGATCCGCTTCTAATTTTGTTTGTAGTGCTAGAGATAACTTGACAGGGTCAATAAGTTTTTCTCTTTCAATGGTGCAATGAAAGGTTGTCTATGACAGCATACGTTAGGATTGACATTGAAAGACAGTGAAAGACAAACCACAAATACTTTTTGTACTTGAATTTATTTATTCACCATCTTCATATCATAATTAATCCAAAAAAAAAAAAAAAAAAAAACATTACACAAGCACATATTTTAATCTACAGCATGGCAGGCCTTCTCTGTTACACTCCCTGTCTGGCCAGCCATACTATCAGCCCAAAGCAAGCAAGCTACGCAACACAAAACTAGAGCACACCCGTTACAATGAGCAACGCTTCCACATTGTTTATTTGCATTCGTTGTGTCTTTGATTATAATGGGAGTGCTCTAAATGTATTGTTTTGCATCAGTCATTTGCAATGTAGCTGAGGTGTATGCTATGAAACACCAACACTGTGAAAAATAAAGCGTGGGGATTCCTTCAAAATACATTCAACCAAAGACACTGCAGTCAGAGAATAGAGTGTATTTCAGGGGCAAACAGGATATCGTAATATATTTTGCAAGATAATTTTTTGTTGATATACTGGCATCTTTGTTTTAGAATTTTGGCAAAAACAAAACTTAAAAGGAATAGTTTGCTCAAAATGAAAAATTGGGTAATACTTTATTTTACAGTGTCCCTGTTACATATTACATACTTATTATATAAATATCAGTAAATGATGCATTATTATATGCAAATAACTGTAAACCAAACCCTATTCGTAACCATAACCCTATAGTTAAGTACATATTGTTTGATATTAATATTACATAGTACTTAATAGTATAATTACACTGTAACAAGGACACTTTAAAATAAAGTTTAACCGAAAATGCTGATGACATTCCAACCCTACATTTTTTCTTCCATATAACACAAAATGAGACATTATAAGAAATGTCCAAGCTGCTCTTTTCCATACATGACAATTTATATTTCAAAAAGTAAAAAGCACCATAACAATTAGTCCATATGTCCATATGTGCTCTGTTCATGAAGCTTTCTGAAGTCATACAGTATGGCAATTTTGGGCGAGCAACACATTTAATATTAATATTTTCTTCAACATAATTGATCCTCATGTGTCATGTGACCAATATCGACCCCAACGGTTTACATCTATACAAGCTATTCAATATTGACTTTTTCAACATATTACATTTTTTGATGTGACCTTACTACCGTTCAGAGGCTTAATAATCGGTTCAATTGATAAAATGCATGTTTTATTACATAGATTCAGCTTTCCATGTCTTCTGCATCCAAAGCACGGCTCTGGTTCTCCTGGGATACTTTTTGCAAGTTCATTCCTAGACATTCCAAGAGGGTCTGAAGTTTGAATGCAGATAGATGAGCATAACAGACACTTTGCTTCCCTCACTGAAGAATTTGGCATCCCTTCAGTTTGGCTGCAAGAAACAGAGGGCTTACGCTCACATGGATATAGAAGACAGACCCATGCATGCATGATTTATCGACTTCCGCGATTACTCACATGCTTGGATAACATTAGATGATGCCAATTTTGAAAAATCTGTTTGAAATATTCAACAGGATTGTTTTGCTTTGGCAGACAACCGCAGGCAAATAAGATCGTGGCTTTTGATCCCTTGTGGCGATAAAGTATTTCCTTTTGGCAAAGATTCAACTGAATTTTCTAATGTTCAGCACTTTGTAAGTCTTTCACCTGCAATTATTACAAATTAGCCACCGCTACCTCACCTTTAACACAGAAGGACTGATTTATCTCAGCCAGTTTCGCTCAAAAGGCAAATTGGTCTTGAGTGTTGCAAAAAATGCCAGCAATTCTTCTTCTTAGTTGACTGAACACTAAACCGGGACCTAAATGTTTCTCTTACTCTCCACAAAACACACACAAGCACAAAATACACACCATGTGCACAAATAGCAGACACCACAAAACAAAGTCATTACAAATCTCAACAGGCATTTACCAATATCTACAACAATTATAAATTAAAATTGTGCAAATTGCCCCACATAGTATCTGCAATAATCGTTGTCATGATCATCATGTGCTTGATGATCTAAAGAAAATAAAAATGTGCATCATTATGCACACAAATGCCACAATATGGGGCATCAGCTGCTCATTGTCATTAAAGGTGAAGTATGTCATTTATTCGCCATTATCGGCACTAAACAAAATGGCAAAAATGACAAATTTCAGACTCTTCTCGGGGATGTCTAGGGGAAACTCATTCATTAGCATTTTAATTCCTCTTAAATGCAGTTTCTCGACAACTATCATATGATAAAATATTTGGAATAAAAATGTATTTTGTCAGAGAACACAGCTTCGTTTGAATGGCCGTCAATGAGGAAAAGAGAGTTTTTTTCCTTCATAATTATGTAGTTACAGGATCTAACAGCAGGAGCAAACTGCTGATATTAACCAGACAAAACTTGACCACATGGTTCAGACAGAGAGTCCCACCCCAAACTCAAGGTATTGGTGGAATCAATGTTGTTATGTCCCAGTTGGGCCACTGAAACAAACAGTTTTAGTGGTGTTAATGTCACAGAAATTACACACTTAACCTTCGCCGCAACCTCATTTCAGTGTCTTGCAGTTGCGTATTGTTATAGCATATCCTTGATCTGAGCATTAAAACATCCTCTGAGTGAGGAATCATTTTGATCGATGTCTTAAGTTGGAATTTGTTCTAAATTTTGTCTTTGCTTTCTCGCTCTCGTCCTCTCAGTTCCTCCAACACATCCCGAAGTTCTACAGCAAATGATTTGAATGCCTATTGGGAGTTGAGAAGTATGCGAGAGAAGAAGCAGTTGCTAACTAACACTGACTCTTGTACATGTCTTGTGGACTGTCCTCTCCTCTGACAACTGACACAAGGGAATCAGATCTGGCATAATCCTCCATTAAGGCATTGACCCAGACCCTTTGAAGTCTTCTACATACAGTATGGCTCTATTTTGCATGCTTGAGTATACCAAGCATGTTTCCTTGAAGGGAGCACATCATTAATAGTGATTAATAGTGGTACATTCATCTAATGTGTGCATGATGTCCAGTTCACTATACAGAATCTGCTTTAAGTAACTTTCATCTCTGAAGATTGAGTCAGTGACTGATGGATTTGTACTTCACTTACTTTGTTTGGTCAATCTTTAGCCGCGTTTCCACTGTCTGGCCAAAGCGTTCTCATTACTTAACTGTTCCATTCTGTGGTTCTATTCTATGGTTTCATTTTCCACTGTGGGGCTGATGACAGAGCTCTTTTGATAATACAAACAAGTCCGTCGCTACTCTGGTAATACAAGTGTTTACAGACGGTACGAGATTTAAATAGCGACAACATTATGGAGGATGATCAGATATTTCTTTTAATTTTATTATCAACTTGTATTTACTTTGCTCAAATGGCGCGCTTGGCAAGCTACAGAGAAACTAGCAGCCAGTCAACAAACAAGTGACCAATCCTGAGTGGCGACGTCACTACATGCATTCTAGCCAACCGTGCTGAGAATTCCGGTCTGAGAACGGTTTGTAATCGTGCCGTGTTGAACCAAGCTCAAGTGAAATATAACTGGAACTGTTCCTTACCATTCTTACATTTTTGTTGGCCCAACGGTGGAAAAGCGGCTTTTCTGTTTTTGCTTTGATATTGGGGTCTATGACCTACAGAAAAAGGCACATGGGCAATACGGGGCTTGATCAGTCTATATCTATACCTTGCCTTGGCAATTAATTTCTAACAAATTCAAAGATGGTTTTAATGAAACTAAACACAAACAGCTTTACTTGTTACGTGTACCCAAAAGCATCAATTGATTCCAAAATATATGCAAACAAAAATGCTGGTGTGCTGGTTTCACCACAAGGCTTTTTCACTAACTTAACCAGGAGAATGTCATTGACCAATCAGCATCACCCGAGATATTTTTGCAGGTGGACAGCATGGCTTTGCTGGTCCACCTGCCCCAAATTAGCATAAACTTGCATGGAAATTTGTGTAGGGTTCCTTCGGTTCAGTCCGAACTCACACACTCTGTAACGCATTAACCGGTTTGCTTAAGTTTTTGATGAGTTCAGTTAAGTGTATCTCCAATTTTCTGTCCATCCAGAGACGCTGGTTGTAGATGTTTTTGCTGAACCGTTGCTGGTTCCATTTGGACCATGCAGTGCAGAGGGGTTTTTTCTACTAAATCATGAACATCACAGACAGCTATATTGTATAACACTAGAGTTAAGACTCTGTTTTCATCAAAGGGTTTGTTAGCATGTACATTTGTGCAAATCTTTCTTAACATATGTCCACCTTCTGCTCGCCCATGTAACATGAGTTTTCTGCTGAGCTTCAGAGAGGGCAGCGCTCTCACAAACTCACACGGTTGCCAGGGACACACACATACATACACACACCTCTCGCTCCAGCCAGGGCTAAGGGTTCAGGGCCCTCAGCCAGAGGAAGCAAGAGTGGTTGGGCCATGGGTCTTCGATGAGACACCTGGAGTCTTCTTCATCTCACAGGTTTCTCTCAGCATTGCCCTGTGGAACGCTACAACACTTTCCTCTGTCCACCACCACTATTTCCTCTGTTATTGAACTGCAGGTGGAGCCATCCTGGGGTGTGGAGGTGAACTGCAGGCATCCCTGCCCAGTACCCATACCATTTTGGTTGTTGGACACCAACATCTGCTTCTCTTCTGGACTCCCAAGCCGGGAGGTAGTGTTAGCGATATCAGGCAGCCGAGGGAGGTTGGAGGAATGGACCAGGATGCTGCCACTTTTCATCTGAAGGGTCTGGCTGTAAGTGTGGCGGTACTCCTCCTCAATGTCCCTCCCAAGCTTCCAGCGTCTCCATTTCTTCAGAATCTCAGACTGAACCTGACCAATCAAGAAGATGCACAGAATGGAAAAGAAACAGATTTGTGAATCCAGAACTACCTTTGTAAGGTTGTGTACATTAAAGAAAAGAGTTGAACTCACCTCCTTGTTGACGAAGCAATATAAGATTGCTACCAGCAGCCCCTGTGAACATGTCAGAGCATGAATAAGTAAATCTTTTAACGTCACCATGCAATCAAAACTGACAATTCTCATTTTTGCTTATTATAAATCCTTGCACATCATAATTTTTTTATTCATGTGCCCTCATTGTCTTTAATCAAAATAACTTCCCCTCCCTCTTGTAGCAACATCTCTTCTTCTCTCTGATGACATGGTTACTGGCACGACGACAGGATAACCTGTCACTTGAGATCGCAGCAATAGCAAACCACAACCATCCAATCAATTTCCCATTAACAAAATAATTTTTTCTTGTTCGAGAAATGTTTCACTTCAAAAGACTATCGGACCTTTCGTTTCATGCCGACTTTAAGACACACCTACAACAAGGTGGTTTGGTATAAACACACAACCTGCTGAAAAGACCAGAGGTGTCGCTTAACTACCATAGTATTTTACCATTTTGAAGAATATGGGTAACCAAACAGTTGATGAACCCCATTGACTCCCATCAACTGTTTGAATGTACCGACATTCTTCAAAATATCTTCTCATGCGTTCAGCAGAGGAAAGAAACTCATACAGGGTTGAAACAACTTGAGGGTGAGTAAATGACAGAATTGACATTTTTGAGTGAACTATCCCTTTAATGACGTCATGCAGGTGGTGGAGGAAAAACCTCTTCTAATGAATAGATACATATTTTAATATTTTGTACAAAAGCATGTTCTTTTTAAGTCCATGTCATACTAACAATAAACTTGTTGTGAGCAGGACGAGGGCCGTGAGAGAGCGGCACGAGGCCGGTGGCGTGATTGACAATGAGCGACACCTGCGCGACGCACCGTTCTCGTATCTCTCACGGAGGAGCGGAAGCATAAAGGAGGAGCGACGACAGTGAGAGATACGAGACCGGTGCGCCGCGCAGGTGTCCCTCATTATCAATCACGCCACCGGCCTCGTGCCGCTCTCTCACGGCCCTCTGCCTCGTCCTGCTCGCCACAAAACTAAGCTACAAACCACAGGTCGAGGGCAACATTCCTATCGAATAGTCCAAACCGCGACTCTAACCCTACACTTAACCCTAACTTAAACCAGAACTAACAACCACCATAAACCAGCCTGGATTAGCAATTCAAGCTGTTCTCAAGGTGTAGCTCGACTAGTACAGTAAGATTAGCAATGCCAAGTTCATAGGTTTGATTCCCAGGGACCACACACTGCTAAACGTATACAACGTATACTTAACATCATGATCTGTGGTTGTTCATAGTCAAACATTCTGTAAATAAAAACAAAGTGCTTTCAAAAATCTATAAAAGTAATAATCAGCCTATTTTGCGAATGTGCTAAATATGACAATATGAAAGAGGCCTAGGGTTCAGTTAGTGCAATCTGCAGTAAAGTATTCAAAAGCCAATAAGCATGAAGTGCTTATCCATCTGCAGATGGATAAATAACAGTCAAGTTGTATGTCCTCTCTCTCTCTTTATCTTTGCACATATGAAAAGTCTCATCAGGCCATTTCCTCCAGGCAGATGATACAAATTCAACGCATTGCAGCTGTGCTCCACTTGAGTTTCATTATCAGTTTGTCAAAGGGTGAGTCAGCCAATTTGTAGCTCCTGCTTTCTCAAAGCAATTAGTCCTGACAGTAAAATAAGCTACAAAATGTTGTTTTTTTTTCAAAGCTGCTGCCCGATCAAGGGACATTTGAATGCATTGCTGATTTGCAGCATGTGGGGCTTTCAGGGAGATTTTGGCAAGGTGAAGTGATTTCTCTCTCGCATATCGAGAACATGACAATGTTTAATTTGTTATTACATCTGAGCTTTGAGCTTGTTATCCATCTTTTTGTAATGCATAATTCATAATTGAATTGAGAGTGCCTTAAATTTCAATTAAATTTCTGATATTGAATTGAGGTGACAAACAAGATACAGAATTGTAAGATAAATAATAAAATTATCCATATAAATGTTGTAAGAGTTTCATTTAGAAGTGGAACTCTACACTGTGGCATGAGTTGACACTAAGGGAATGCTACTCATGAGCCGGTGTCTGAAGCACGTGTGTTACACACCAATCTTGATTGACTACCGCAGTTGGGTGACATCACAGGTCGCACTGGCAGATTATATAAGGGTCTTTGTCTTCAGGAAGCCATTTGTTTGTCTGTTCGTGAGATCTCTGTGTTAGTGGCTAGGATTGAACAAAAAGTCAAGGTTTAGGAAATGTGTCACATCGTTCTTAAGATATATAATCCTAGATGATGCCTGTTGATGATGATGCCTGTAGATGATCTGTGTGTTAAATGTCTTGATGTGCCACATCTCCTAAACTTTGACTTTATTTTTCAATCCTAGCCCTCTTGAGGGGGCTGGTTGTTCTCACTTTGAACACTTCACAGCAGGGTTCTCAAGTTTTATCAAAAGCTTGGAGTGAGATCACATGCGGTTAGGGGAGGAGCCCAAGGGGAGGAGCCCCAGTGGAGCCCCCCCCCCAATTTTACCCATTGTTCATAATTAACCAGTACAAATAAAAATTATAACAATTGGTAAATCTGATAAATGACAGAGCAATTCATCACATCAAATATACTCTTTAATGTTATATTTCAAAATTACTAAAATATAACAAATTGCTCCAAACAGTTTGGAAAAACAAATCTTTTTGCATTTTTCCCTGACATCTTTGAAAAATACAAATGCAATGGCAATGATTATAATGTATGTTTTGATAGGATATAAAATATTACCCAGAACACTCTGCCTTAATACATGTAGCCTTAATGTAACTAGAAAGACTATTAATACAGTATAATATATAATTTAAAATAAAATTCAATTCTTCAATAAACTTCATTCCTTCCCATACCCACTAACATTTCCCCTAGCAAAAGCTTCTGGCCTGGTTGCAAAGTAGTTGTAGAGTTTTTGACTGCATCAATAATAATGTATACGATTGGCTATATATTAAATGTTCTAGCCTAAAAATGTTAGACAAGCTTTCTTCCAACTTACCTTCTCCAACACGACCTATGATCACGACGTGTGTTCGCGCGATATTGTTGGTTACCTAGTAACGGACGTACGGTGGCCGAGAATGTTCCGTCAACTTCCGTGTGTTCGTGCATCTATGTTGCCTAGTAACGAACGCAATCTGGCCGAGATACGGACGCGCTGGCGGCAGGAAACTTCACTTTGTGTGCCTGCGCCTCGTATACAACGTTATATATAAAGCTTGCAGGACAACTTGGTTGGCATTGTCTTTTCAGCGTGAGAAATACATGGTGTGGCGTGTGAGCGTGTGAACTGGTTGAATTGCGTGTGTCTCACGGCCAATGCGTGAGACTTGAGAACCCTGCTTCACAGTGAGGAAGCTCCACTCCCGTCTGATACTTTTTTAAGGGGGATGGGACCCAGGCGTCTGCACCCTGCAGAATGTGGCCCGCTGCTGCAAAGGGAGCATAGCAGAGAGCATGTTATTGGCTAGATCTTGTTCTGAGGAACTAGATGTGATGGGAGTTGAGGAGGATGTTATGAGTGAGTCTGTCTCCTCCATCACCCCCACATATGAGGAGCTGATTGATGTAAAGACCAGTGCCATGGCCAAGTTAAAATTGGATTGGTCTGTGGAGAGAGAGGAATCTATCCCAAGCAGGTTTGAGAGATTTCAAGCAAATCATAAGAGTTACGATCCAGTGAGCCTTCCTTTCCTCCAAGATTATGGGAGAATCTGTTTTCGGCCCGTGTTCACGCCCCTATTATGAATAGTTACACCAACTTTAAGGGGCTTGCTGAAGACAGATATGCGGTGATGCCCTGTTTAGGAGTCTCTTGCGAGCTACCTCGTCCCCGTGGTGGCGTCTTCATGGAAGGCTAAGCAGGAGGCTTGCTCCATCGGCTCCTCACTTGCTGCCATGGTTGCCATGGAGAGGCATTTTTGACTTAAGGTGATGATACACAGGGCAACTTTTTGGGCAATGTTGCTGGGCAATGTTTCCCTCAACGGGCAACCAGATGAGACACAGTGCCCAAGACCGATATAAATTATCCATTTATACATTTATTGCCCATTTTCAATGGGAAAGTGCCCAAGCAACAATCACTCGGCAAGATTGCCCAGCAACATTGCTCAAAAAGTTGCCCTGTGTATCATCACCTTTAGTCTCTCGGGGCTCAAGGATAAAGATGGAGTTTTTTTTCTGGATGTCTCTGTAATGCCTACTGGTCTTTTTCTTACCGCTGTCGAGGCAGTGGTCCAGAAGATCAGAGAGTCGTTTAAGTGGTACATCCACCGCCACAGTCCCACATCCCACATCCCACTTCTGACTCTGTTCCTGACCCCAGCTGGAGACAGGGTCAAAAGGAGAGCGGCTCTATCTGTGCTCCGCTTCGAGGAGTCGGGGCTCGAGGCGGCGACCTCGTAAGAAGTAAAAAAGAGATCTAAGGGATGTCATCTCGGCTAAGAGTGAAAGAAGCCGAATCCTCATCTTGACTTCTGATACATGAGTGAAGTGGCAGTTGAGGTCGAGTTTATTTCCTCCTGTATCAATATTTCACTCCTCCAGATATGAATGAGGAAATTCAACAAGTCAGTTGGAGCCGATGGGTCTCATCTGTTCACTTCTTGAATAAATTGGACTAGTGCAGTAGTATTGGCTCAGGTATTATCTTTTCCTGAGCATGGAAAGCTCAGGTGCTTTAATTTGAATAAGTGGCCACATATTGCCCCACCTTTTTAGTATATCGCCTCTGCGGTTTATTGGGCTTCCCTCAGAATCATACTCATTCAGTAAAGTTGGTGTGCTCACATTTTATTACCCACTTTTAGTTACAGAGTGTGTCCCCTTTGGGGAAAGGTGCCACACAGATATGGAGCAGGGTTTGGCTGTTAGGGCCCCATCCCTTTGTCTGTTGTGTCCTTGAACACTATAATCTGCTTCTCGTTGAATTACATTCATATTGGAGTAATGGGTATATCTGAGCTATCTGAGCCTCTTCCTAGATTGGAGGCTGCATCAGTCTTTTCCCATATATGTATGGGCAGTATAGTAATGATAATGAGCTTTTCCGCTTCTGTGCCTCACTCCTTCATTTGTTGCACCTCCAGTCTATACCTGGAGGTGATAAGTACGGACATTCTGTGGGCATGTTAGCAAGTTTTCCTAACAGTCCATAAGGAGTATTGGGACTAACTATAAGTGGACTCTGTACTAGCTAGTGGCCTGCTCTCTGTCGTTTGCTGGAACTGTAGGAATGGACAACCATTAGCCAACAAGAGGGACTTGGTAGAGAATGGTATGAGAGCGCTATGGCTCCCGCTCTCTCAGTAGCCCCTTCGATTCATACTGTAGGTAATAGTCGGACGACTTTACATCGACTAGTTCTCTAGAGGACTTGATATCTGGTAGAGCGCATCCCAAGAGGGAAGGACTCTTTTTTTCCTGGGTAGAACAGGCAGTTGAGAGAATGGTGTACCCTTCTGAGGCCTCTTCTGGTCCTTAGGATAGGATGCTTAATAATTTGCTCCCTGGCAGGACGTTGTCCCTCTGGAACTATGGCTGAGAATCTGGGTGACAGTCCTCTAGTCTGCCCCTCCTTTTTGGTTGGCAAATGCAGTGAGGCTGCGATCTACTTAGTCAGTTATGCTTTTGGGTCACTTAGTCTAAGATCATATAACATGGTTGGTATTGAGCTGCGGACTTTGTCTCAATCTGTTAGTTCTGGGTCAGTAGGTGCACTGTATGGCAATATTTGGCTACAGCTTAGCTCGCTGGTGATTTCATAGCACAGTGAGCAGGCATTTTTTCAGTATGGCATAGTGGATGTTTCATTCCCAAAGCATCAACTCATGATGCAGTGTAGAGTTCCACTTAGGTAATATCTCAGGTTACAACTGTATCCATGGTTCCCTGAGAAGGGGAGACACTGCATCACTTTGCCATACTTTCAGGCATTCCTGTACATCTTCCTTCAGACAAACAAAGCTGTTGACGTTCTTTCTAGCCATCCTTATAGACTCGAACAGCGCAGATGTAACATCACCCGACTGCAGTAACCAATCAAGATTGGCATCCAACACGTGCTTCAGACACCAGCTCACGAGCAGCGTTCCCGTAGCGTCAACTCATGATATAATGTCTCGTTCCCCTTCAGAGAACCATGTTTACAGTCATAACCTGAGACATTTAAGTAATAAGCCTACTACATAATAACTACAATTTTCAGTAGGTTTTCTAAAAATTTAATTATTCACATATGATCATTTGTATTTAATATACATGTTTTAATTATATGTAATGCTCTTTTCATACTACTTTTAATAAGTAGAATGCTCTACTCAGCATATTATATAATCAATAGATTCAATAGATTTGGTCAATATTTATTTCTATAGTTACAGTACCTGAAAACAGTATTTGTTGGACTAAATTGATCTGTTGTGTGGGTGTGTTGAATTGATTTGAATTGAATGCAATTCAGTCAATTCATTGTCCTGTCATTCCACTGAAAATGCACACAATGAAAGGAAGAGTGATGGTGTATTAAGGCTTTCTTACCTGGAAGGAGTTAAAGAAGAGGTCAATGAAGAGCTTTGTGAGGCGCAGGGGTAGAGCACCATGTGAGGTAGACTCGTCAGTAACGAACGAAAACAGGACCGAATGGATCCCCAGTAACGGAATCAGAGTGAGGGTGGACTTAGCAAGCCTGAAAAGGAGAGAAAAAAGAAAGATACACAGGTCACCTGGAAACAAACACACAATATTGTGCAAATGCTTAATGGGACAGTTCACTCAAAAATGCATATTCTGTCATCACTTACTCACCCACATATTGTTCCAAACCCGTATGACTTTCTTTCTGTTGTTTTGAAGAAAGTACTGAATGTTTTATACAAGGGTTTTTCCTAATGGGGGTTCGTGAGGGAACTGCAGAAGGTTCATGAGTTGGTGAAAAGCTAATAATTAAACAATGTGAAATTAAAATAAATAAACATTCTAATTATTAGAATCATGAAATATATATTTTTTTCAGGACAACTGTAATCTACAACAGTAGTAAAATAACTTTTTATAAAAGAGGTAAAGCAATATAATAATAATATGCCTTCTTTATGTGCAACCCTATATATAAATAATTAGAAAATAAAAACAACAACTATAAAAATAAAAAACTTACACCATGTCTACATCAGATGCAAGCGGCGTGACGCGATACGAAAAAAGCAAATACAATACATTATAATCAATGATGCTGTCTACACTGGATGCAGTGAGAAATTAAATGACACATTTATGCACTACTTCTGTCAAGAAGGACAAATGGATTTGCAACGGTCGCTTTGTTGCATCCAGTGTAGTCTCAATTTGGTGTGGACACGGTGTTACTAAAAAATATTAAATATTTTATGATATCTGTTAACTTGCATGTCATGTTACCATAATCAACATTAGATAACCATGAACATATTAATGCAAGACTGAAAATCCCTCGACTATATGCTGCAGGTCTCACATCTTGATCACGTTTGCATGCAAATTATTAAAATATGGTGGATATTGTGCATCAACACATCACATCCTATTTGCAAATGTTATTGGTTTTCAAGTCTCTCATAACCAATTGTGATGCAAAAAGTTTGAAGACTCTGAATTAAAGGAGATGTGAGATTTTCAGCAAATAAATAACTTAAATTTCATGCTGTATCTCTGAAGCAAATGGTTTGGAATAAGGGTGAATAAATAATACCAGACATTACACTTTTGGGTGAACTAACCCTTAAACTGCAGGACACCCACCGGAACTTGTAGTCAGTATATCTCATTTGGTGCGCCCTCAGTTTGGACACGAGTATCTTGATGATGTGTATGAATATGAAGAAGTTAATCTGAACAGAGAAGAGAACATCATAATGCCCTGGTTAAGACCATTATGTCATATTAGCAGGACAAAACTGACACAACAGTTCCCTCACAGTCAAGTCAAGTCACCTTCATTTATAAAGCGCTTTTAACAGAAGAACAAATGACTCAGGATGAGTGACTGGGGTGGCAAGAAGAGTGGGGGAAGGAAGTCAGCAATGCTTGACAGAGTCTGGAAATAGAAGTAGAACAGTCCAGCCCTATGATAATTCAAACATAGGAATTTCTGCCCACTAGAGGAACACTTGAACAGTTACATAGAAACATCACTGCACATTGCTAAATGCTCATCTGCACTTCACAGCCAATGTGAGCATTATGGATGCCAAACAATTGTACACAGTATTGCGCCTTTCGTCGCAATCATGTGGAAATAAGACACTGGATTAGGGGAGGGCGATTCTTTGAAATCATAGCTGTAGACTCTAAAACATATTACATGTAGTCACCTCCTGATTTACTGAGAGTCGACATTATGGCAATATTGTGCATAATGGAAATGACTTGTGTTTAATGCTAAAGCGAATGCAATGTAATTGGGTGTGACAGTGTGAGCATAAAACAGCATAAAACATTTAACCTTCCTGTGTTCTTCATATTCCTTCTGTTACGTCAAATAATACAGTCAAGCCTGAGTCACAGGAATATTGTTAATATAATAATTCTTACTATGAATATGGAATATGGGCAAAATTCTGAATTTAAGAATAGCCTCTTTTTAGGTCATGAATGTGAATTTGAATTAAAATGGCCACAGGATTTTGAATTAGACTGACAGAACAGGACTTATATAACTAAATTTCATTAGTTTTGTGATTATATTGCTTTTAATATACACTCACCGGCCACTTTATTAGGTACCCCATGCTAGTAACGGGTTGGACCCCCTTTTGCCTTCAGAACTGCCTCAATTCTTCGTGGCATAGATTCAACAAGGTGCTGGAAGCATTCCTCAGGGAGTTTGGTCCATATTGACATGATGGCATCACACAGTTGCCGCAGATTTGTCGACTGCACATCCATGATGCGAATCTCCCGTTCCACCACATCCCAAAGATGCTCTATTGGGTTGAGATCTGGTGACTGTGGAGGCCATTTTAGTACAGTGAACTCATTGTCATGTTCAAGAAACCAATTTGAAATGATTAGAGCTTTGTGACATGGTGGAAGTAGCCATCAGAGGATGGGTACATGGTGGCCATAAAGGGATGGACATGGTCAGAAACAATGCTCAGGTAGGCCGTGGCATTTAAACCATGCCCAATTGGCACTAAGGGGCCTAAAGTGTGCCAGGAAAACATCCCCCACACCATTACACCACCACCACCAGCCTGCACAGTGGTAACAAGGCATGATGGTTCCATGTTCTCATTTTGTTTACGCCAAATTCTGACTCTAACATCTGAATGTCTCAACAGAAATCGGGACTCATCAGACCAGGCAACATTTTTCCAGTCTTCAACTGTTCAATTTTGGTGAGCTCTTGCAAATTGTAGCCTCTTTTTCCTATTTGTAGTGGAGATGAGTGGTACCCGGTGGAGTCTTCTGCTGTTGTAGCCCATCCGCCTCAAGGTTGTGCGTGTTGTGGCTTCACAAATGCTTTGCTGCATACCTCGGTTGTAACGAGTGGTTATTTCAGTCACTGTTGCCCTTCTATCAGCTCGAACCAGTCTGGCCATTCTCCTCTGACCTCTGGCATCAACAAGGCATTTCCGCCCACAGAACTGCCGCTCACTGGATGTTTTTTCTTTTTCGGACCATTCTCTGTAAACCCTAGAGATGGTTGTGCGTGAAAATCCCAGTAGATTAGCAGTTTCTGAAATACTCAGACCAGCCCTTCTGGCACCAACAATCATGCCACGTTCAAAGTCACTCAAATCACCTTTCTTTCCCATACTGATGCTCGGTTTGAACTGCAGGAGATTGTCTTGACCATGTCTACATGCCTAAATGCACGTAGTTGCCGCCATGTGATTGGCTGCTTAGAAATTAAGTGTTAACGAGCAGTTGGACAGGTGTACCTAATAAAGTGGCCGGTGAGTGTAGACTAATCATGCCTATTTAAGGAGTCTGGGACATGGTGATGGAAAAAAATATGGGATGCAAGGAAAAAATACATTTCTAAGCTTTTGTGTTCTCTCACAAAACTTTTGCATTTCTCCAAGAAACTTTCTGGATGCAAAACATTTTGCGAGCGGACACAAACTTTCTCTGGGGAATGCAGACATTAGTAAGAGAACACGAAAACATTGACATCATTTTTCCTCGCATCTCATCGATTTTTTCCTTCACCGTGCTCTGTACCTATTTTGTTTCCTTATACATATATTATTTGGTAACCCTTTACAATAAGGTTTCATTTGTTAACATTTGTGAACTACATTAGTTAACATGAACAATGAACAATACTTCTAAAGAATTTATTAATCTTAGTACACGTTCATTTCAACATTTGCCAATATATTATTAAAATCAACATTTATTTCTGTTAATATTATATTATAACAATGAACAGTAATATTTTTAGCAACTAATGTTAACAATAATCATTAACATCATTGTCATTGTTAGGTAATGCTAACAATGGTTAGTACATAATAGGTACCTTATAGTAAAAGTGCTCTTAAATTTGTTAAAAGGAATCTTAAGCATGTACAATAACCATTGAGGTTTGTTCTCGCGTTTCAAGCAAGTACGGTTGAGTTATATGTTAGAACTATGCTAAACAATGTTTATATGTGACAAAAAAAATAAATTAAATCTGTCCTACATATATAGTGAACATGTCTCTTCAGAAGACTTGGATTGAGCCCCTCGATTCCTATGGATTTATTTTATGATCTCTTTATGAACTTTTTGAAGTGAAGTTTTGGGTGAACAGACTTTCAATGGAGGGACAGAAATCTCTCATATTTCATTAAAAATATCTTAATTTGTTTTCCAAAGATGAACAAGAGTCTTACGAGTTTGGAATGACATGGGCGTGTAGTGACAATAGCGACTGTGTTATGGAGGATGACCAGATATTTAATTTAATTTTATTATTGACTTTTGCTCAAATGACGTGCTTAGCCAGCTACAGAGAAACTGGCAGCCAGGCAAAAGACAAGTGACCAATCCTGAGTGGAAACGTCACTCCATGCATTTTAGCAGCACGGTCTGAGAACGGTTTGTATGCGTGCCGTGTCGAACCAAGCTAGTGGAAATATAGGGCGAATTCCAAACAGCGTTTGTGCTCCCTTGAAGGGCACTTCGGGAAGGGGACGTCATTTGTATGGGTGTTCCAAATGAAAGTGAACAACTGAATACAAAGGGCCCTTCCACAAGGCTGTTAGTGAAGGGAATTGTGATATTAAATTTCAAGATAGTCATTTTATAGGTCATGTGACCCAGAGTGGCAAATCCTTGCGATTCATTTTAAAGTTAACGCATTAACAGAATAATTCAAGTTGTTTTGTTTGTGATATTTCACACATATTTCGTCATCCGAGTTTCATAGGTAAGAAATATGTTTAAGGTAAATGTACACTCACCTAAAGGATTATTAGGAACACCTGTTCAATTTCTCATTAATGCAATTATCTAGTCAACCAATCACATGGCAGTTGATTCAATGCATTTAGGGCTGTGGTCCTGGTCAAGACAATCTCCTGAACTACAAACTGAATGTCAGAATGGGAAAGAAAGGAGATTTAAGCAAATTTGAGCGTGGCATGGTTGTTGGTGCCAGACGGGTCGGTCTGAGTATTTCACAATCTGCTCAGTTACTGGGATTTTCACGCACAACCATTTCTAGGGTTTACAAAGAATGGTGTGAAAAAGGAAAAACATCCAGTATGCGGCAGTCCTGTGGGCGAAAATGTCTTGTTGATGCTTGAGGTTAGAGGAGAATGGGCCGACTGATTCAAGCTGATAGAAGAGCAACTCTAACTGAAATAACCACTCGTTACAACCGAGGTATGCAGCAAAGCATTTGTGAAGCCACAACACACACAACCTTGAGGCGGATGGGCTACAACAGAAGAAGACCCCACCGGGTACCACTCATCTCCACTACAAATAGGAAAAAGAGGCTACAATTTGCAAGAGCTCACCAAAATTTGACAGTTGAAGACTGGAAAAATGTTGACTGGTCTTATAAGTCTCGATTTCTGTTGAGACATTCAGATGGTAGAGTCAGAATTTGGCGTAAACAGAATGAGAACATGGATCCATCATGCCTTGTTACCACTGTGCAGGCTGGTGGTGGTGGTGTAATAGTGTGGGGGATGTTTTCTTGGCACACTTTAGGCCCCTTAGTGCCAATTGGGCATGGTTTAAATGCCACGGCCTACCTGAGCATTGTTTCTGACCATGTCCATCCCTTTATGGCCACCATGTACCCATCCTCTGATGGCTACTTCCAGCAGGATAATGCACCATGTCACAAAGCTTGAATCATTTCAAATTGGTTTCTTGAACATGACAATGAGTTCACTGTACTAAAATGGCCCCCACAGTCACCAGATCTCAACCCAATAGAGCATCTTTGGGATGTGGTGACACGGGAGCTTCGTGCCCTGGATGTGCATCCCACAAATCTCCATCAACTGCAAGATGCTATCCTATCAATATGGGCCAACATTTCTAAAGAATGCTTTCAGCACCTTGTTGAATCAATGCCACGTAGAATTAAGGCAGTTCTGAAGGCGAAATGGGGTCAAACACAGTATTAGTATGGTGTTCCTAATAATCCTTTAGGTGAGTGTATATGTAAGGTAAATGTGACTACATGCAGAGCACAGAGGAAACACACTCACACAAATAGATAATGCATATTTTAAGAACTTCATTATAATGCACATTTTTTGGCAACAATTATATTAACAGCAATAATAACAAAATTCCTGTTGTAAGAACACCTAATGGGGTTGATGGACGTCACACTGCATTGTATTGGTAACATTCCAGGTGAAGATAATGAGGAAATTACGTGGTCTTTCATTGCTCCCTTCAGCAAGTGCGTTCCAAAATGGCTACATTATGACACGCAAGTGCCCTGCTCCCTCAAAACTCCCCACTTCAAGGGCTCTGCCCTTCGGAGTAAATAGTGAATAGGGATGCTCACTTCTGATTGGAATTCACCCATAACCGGAACCATTCCTTACCGTTCTTAGAACCGTTCGACCTGACGGTGGAAAATCGGCTTTTAAGTCTCAAGTCTTGTCTGGGCTAAAAGTCTAGCTAAGAAACAACTAATACGTTTTACGTTTTGTGTTGTACCACATTAATTCTTCATAATTAGTGGTATTGTAACTGTGTGTGGTCATCACTCTGCTATTACACCGAATTACACTAATACAACTTGGTTTAGTACTACACACTTTTTTATTGCATTATTTTTAAATTTGCCAGCCCTTTTCTTTTTAAACACTGGGTCACTGAAGTTGTAAAAAGATGCATTTCTGAGTGGAAAAGAATATTCAATGACGAAAAATATATGAGAAGCTTATCCATTGATTGATTGATTGATTAATTGATTGATTGGGATTTGTGACATAAGCAGATGTGGAGCAATTCAATGTTTAAATGATGTTTAAATGATGTTAAATAATTACAAAAACAACATAAAAGAGGCGTGTTGGTAATGTTGTGTGTGCAGGTCCTGAATCCATTCCCCCTCTTTCCTTCTACTTTCCTGTCCAATCTCCAGATAATCAAGGCAAAAAAGCAATTTTGGTTTCATGTTGACTTCAAGGGTGGAGGTAAAGTGGCATTACAGGAGATGAAGTGTCATTAACAGTGCTCTGGATGTGGGAGACTCAGACTGATAAGTACAGCTAAGAGAGGCTGATGAGGGACATGAACGAGTGTCTCACTCACCAACACGGCCAGCAGGATGGGAGAGCGAATGATCCACCAGTACTCCATGTGAATATTCTGCATCCAGCATCTGATCAACAACAAGAGATCAAATACATCACAGTAAATGAGCAAATGAGGGCTACTTGTGTTCATTAAATATACTCAACACACACAACATAATCACTTATAATTAACACTTACTGAGGCAACTTAGGTTTACTTAATTATACATACATACTTTTTAGAAAGAAAAAAAATCATGTTAACATGTGAGTATCAAATATGGTGCATCAGGCTTTTGAGGATTATTTATAAATCTTTTGTCTGAAGTTTCAATAAACTGTTCCATAAAAAAAAAAAAGGGAAAATGCGTCAGATTTTACAGGGTTGATATAGTCTAAATGTATAACGTTTTAGGTTACACTTTATTTTAAGGTGTCATTGTTACACTGTAATTGCACAAATACGTACTGAATCATATTAATTAAAGGCACACTATGCAACTTTTTTGTTCAAATGAACATAATTTAAATCTTCTTTCAAAATTTGTGTTTTTTTGTGTGTGTGTGTGTGTGTGTGTGCCTTACCCTGATTCACTATGCTAAGCCTATTATATATGTTTATATTTTAAACCTAGCGGGAAGGTTTTCATGGGAAACTGTGTACATACGTCACTCGTCGTCCGTGTGTGTCTCGTCATATCCGTAAATAGACAAAAGTTTCTCTGGTTACTTTGACAAGTATATGGTGTGGGAGTGGTTAGTTGTCACAATGAGTGAGAAAGTTTGACATGCATGGATCAGCTAAATCTCCAACCTCCGGGGAATCACCAGTTTAAAAAAAACATTTGCGAACAGAGGAGAGTCTGCTAGCAAAAAGAGAACGCGACAGAATTCGTAATAAAACAAGAATCAACATTGGCTTGGCTTTTCTGAGTTGGCGAAAACTGAGGGTTCTCTTACGAGAGGTTCTCTCGTATTGCGTAAGCTAGCTTACGCTGCGGGAAAGATTCATCTTTGCTGAGATATTGAAGCCAAAAAATTATTTCATAATTTGTATCCATTGACAACGCAGTTCCTCTGCGGCAGACCTAGAGCAGGCTAGCTAGCAGCTCATTGGTTCGCTCAGAGAGAACTGCTTAAGCCTATGGGAGAGCAGGGCTGAACCCGCTTCCAATGAGAGGCGCCCGCGCGCTCATTGCGTCATGGCCCGCCAGAATGGGCGTGGCTATGGTGTATATAACAGTCTCTCCCAGGCTTATATGTTGATTCATTTCATCTTCAGCAAGCTGCACGCTTCTGCTGTCCTGAGAAAAGCCGTCGCCGTCGAGAAGGCATCACTCTAGCGAGCTCCCGGACCCTGAAGAAGCCGGCCGTCTTCGCCACCTTCAGCCGCCCTGCAAGCTAGCGCCATCCGACGACTGTATCCTTCTCTTTTCTCTATTTATATCTAAAAGAGCCGAGCGTCTTTTTAAAGATGTCTCGTTTTTCCTGCGGCTCTTGCCGCGCTCGTCTCGAGGACGGAGACCGCCATGTCATCTGCGCTCTCTGCCTGGGACTCGAGCACGCAGAACTCGCCCTCGCGGATGGAGGATGTGACTTCTGTGAGAGCCTGCCGTTGTCGTCCCTGCGGGCACGACTTCTGGCAGCAAAATCCGCTCCCGCGCCGCCTCCCTCTTCGCCGCGTAAGAAGAAAACGCCGCTCCCAGAGGCCGCCGGAGCCCCCAGCGGAACCATGCGGGCCGCCGTCGCCGCCTCCCGCTTCCCGCTCTCCCTCCCCGCCCCTGCCGGACATACAGTTGCCGCCGAGTGGCCGCTTTGTCGCTTCCGATGACGCCGCGGAGGAGAAGGACTCCTGTTCACTGCTCGCATCAGACAGTGAAGAATGGTCATCTCTCGGTTCCACGAGAGAGTCGGCGGGGATCCGCGCCGGGATAGAGGAGGAACTAATGCACTAATCTCACAGGCCGTCGAACGCCTCGGTCTCGAGTGGTCTCCTCCACCCGAGCAGGCCCCGAACCGGATGGACGGCAGCTTTTTTCATCGGCGCTCGACCCCCGCGTGCAACCGGGCCGCCCCATTCCTGCCTGAACTTCATGCTGAGCTGACGAAGTCCTGGAATGCCCCGCTCTCGGCTAGAAACCGCTCTGATATATCCGCCTCGCTGCGCTCGGTGGACGGAGCCGCCGAAAAAGGTTACTCAGCCATGCCGCCCATCGAGGACTTGGTCGCCGCACACTTCTGCCCGCCCTCTGCTAGATGGCGCTCTTCCCCCACGCTTCCTTCGAAAGCTTGCAGAGCGACCTCGAGCTTTCATGCTCGCGCCTACGCCGCCGCCGGTCAGGCCGCCGCAGCGCTACATTCTATGTCTGTCCTCCAAGTATTACAGAGCGATATTCTCCGTGAGTGGGCCGAAAGCGGTAGAAACCCCTCCCCCGCTGTCACGGATCTGAGAAGTGCTACGGACCTCGCCCTTCGCGCCACTAAAGCCGCCGCACAAGCTCTGGGGAGATGCATGGCCAGCCTTTGTGTTGCCGAGAGACACTTATGGCTCACGCTCGCCGACATGGGCGATTCTGAGCGCGCCGCGTTTCTTAACGCGCCCCTCTCCCCGACGGGCCTTTTTGGATCTGCTGTCATGGGAATCGTCGATCGCTTTTCTGAGGTCCAGAAAGCTACTCAGGCGATGAATTTGTTTCTGCCCCGCCGCGCTAGCTCTTCCGCGGGCCGCTCTCGCGAGCCTCCTGCCAGAGCTCCCCCACAGCGCCCCCCTCCGCAGACTCAAACAGCCCAGCGCAGACAGGGCGGCCGCCCTCGCTCTCGCTCTGACAGCCGCCGCAGACCGCCGCCCCCACGAGGCCCGCGACCTAAGATCACGCTGAAGCCTGATCATCAGAAGTCTGCCTAGCAAAGTCAAGAAAACGACGGTGCTCTCCCGCTGCGGCCGGACCGCCGTCAAAGCTTTGCCCTCTGCCAGTCCCCGTTATTTCGCCGACTGCTGTAGTGTTGACCGCCACAAACAAGCCGGTGTCCCAGCCCGCTTGCGAGCGACAAAAAGCCGTTTTTACGGCTACCCAGAGAAATCTCAAAAAGAGAAAATTTGCCAGTTGTGTAGAAAATGTGCCCACAATCATGTGCTCACCCATACACACAAGCATAACATATCCCGTGTCTCTATCAGAGCCCCATCACATGAAACAGGCACAGCCCGCTCTAATATCAGAGAACATAAACACGCCCACGAGCTCGTGCGCGTGTCCCCTCTCTGCTCGCTCTGTTTCACGGCCCATAGACTCCTCTCTGAGTGCAAATCCCGTTGCCACACACATTCAAAGCGCGCCCACACACCGTGTCCAGCCCGCTATGTGCAGCAATCAGGGCGATATAGCCATTCGGCCACTAGCCGCATGCTCCAAAGCGTGGGAAGCCATTCCAGGCATTTCCCCGTGGGTACTAAGCATTATAAAGAACGGCTATCTGCTACAGTTTCGCCGCCGCCCGCCTCGTGCGCGCGCGCGCGGCTCGAATCTACTATCAGCCCGCTGGCCGCCGGCACGCTCCGCTCAGAAATTGCGACGCTGTTGCAAAAGGGCGCCATAGAGAGAGTCCAACCATCTATGACCGAGTCGGGGTTTTATGGCCGTTATTTTCTGGTTCCCAAGAAAGACGGCGGCCTCAGACCGATTTTAGATCTCAGGTCTTTGAACAAAGTGCTCATGAAGAGACCGTTCAAGATGCTCACTACCAGGAAACTCCTCGTGCAGGTGCGCCAGGGGGACTGGTTCATCTCTCTAGACCTGAAAGACGCCTATTTTCAGATCCAGATAAATCCCCGTCACAGGCCATTCTTACGTTTCGCCTTCGAGGGTCATGTTTATCAATACGCCGTTCTCCCGTTCGGCTTATCCCTGGCGCCCCGCACATTTACGAAGTGCATGGATACGGCGCTCGCCCCCCTGCGGAGCCAGGGGCTGCGCATATTGAATTATCTGGACGACTGGCTGATTTTGGCCCAATCACAGACGGAGCTTCTGTCGCACCGCGCAGTTCTCCTCGACCATCTAAAAACGCTGGGCCTCTCTGTCAACTGGACAAAGAGCTCCCTTCAACCCAGTCAATCGATTTCCTTTCTAGGAATAGATTTGAACTCGGTCACGATGACGGCTCGCCTGTCTACACAGCGCGCGCGCAGTGTACAGCGACTGGCCGCCTCGTTTCAGATGGGCACCCGCTCACCTCTGAAAACTTTTCAGAGGATGCTGGGTTACATGGCCTCAGCCTCCGCTGTGCTTCAGCTGGGCCTTCTGCACATGCGTCCGCTTCAGCTTTGGTTAAACAGCCGTGTACCCCACCGCGCGTGGAACACGGGCCGCCAGCTGATCAGAGTTACGCAGACATGTCTCACGGCGCTGCAGCCATGGACAGTAGCAGAATGGTTTCGACAGGGCGTCACGATGGGGACCTTTTCCCGCCGAAAAGTCATCTCGACAGATGCATCCAACACGGGTTGGGGTGCAGTCTGCGAGGGCTCACCGGCCTTCGGCCATTGGTCGACACAGGAAAGCCCCTTACACATAAACTGTCTGGAAATGCTTGCGGTCGAGAACGCGCTTTCGCGCTTCCTCCCGCTCATTCGGGGACACCACGTCCTGATCCGTTCGGACAACATGGCTGTGGTCTCCTATCTCAACCGTCAGGGCGGTGTCAGGTCCAGGAATCTCTTCCTACTGACACACCGCATTTTAGTTTGGTCTCAGAGCCGCCTGCTCTCGCTCAGAGCGACGCATGTGCCGGGCCATCTGAACGACGGTCCAGACATACTGTCCAGGAACCTCATCTCCTCAGGAGAATGGTCCCTGAACACACAAACGGTCCAAATACTGTGGCGGCTATTCGGCAGAGCAGAGGTGGACCTCTTCGCGTCAGAAGAGAACGCTCACTGCCCAATATTTTTCTCAAGGAGCGAGGACGCGCTAGCCCAGGAATGGCCTCGCCGCCCGCTCTATGCATTCCCTCCGATCGCTCTGCTACCACAGGTAATTCAGAGGATCAGGGACACACGCCACTCGGTGCTCCGCGTTGGGAGAGT